ACTTACCTGGAGAGGAGAAAAAAAAAAAAGCTTCTGAAAAAGCTCTCTTCCATGACTGCAAATAACGACTCTTTTAACATTTACATGAACACATCACTGCTTTTATAGACAGTTAGAGAAATGACAGGGACTTCCCATCCTAAATAATCACAGAGTGCATTATGTTTGAACTGCTAAGAAGCTGTTTAACATACAAGCACACGCTGTTCTGATAGTTTCCAAAATACTCAGTGCACTTTGATATTTAACATTCCTGTCTCTCTTCTGCCCATGTAACATTGCTGACAAACACTGTTTCTACAATTCTTTTCTGCAGCAGGTAAAGAATAAAAAGAAAGCATTTACGTGTTTTATGTAGTTCATTATTGCATTGTAGCATTAAATGTATGCATGCACTTTAAACATTCAAGTTCTGTAAACGCCAGCTTTGGCAGCATTTATTTGCTAGAGGTTTCAGTCACAGAAAACACTTACTGTTGGGGCTCTGAGAGGCAGGTCCACACATTTGTTGGCTTTGGCTTCCAAGTCATTCCACGTACCGCGGGACTCCACGTTTTGGTGCAGGGGTGCTCCTCAGAAGCACAAGAAATCTCTCTTTGAATGGGCTGGCTATTCTTGTGAGGGCTGAGCAGTAACAACAGCAGAGGAGCTCTGAACTTAAAGCAGCTCAGTTTCCCTTTTGTGTGTGTGTGTGTTAAGCAGATGGCTAGATCGCCTTGCCCGGAACCCTGTGCGATCCAGTGCTGTTCTCACTGGAGCCTCACATTGTGTCTCTCCATCTCCAGCTTAGCAAAGGGCAACAGCAGCAGCTTCCATTTAAATATAAGAGCCTGCAGGGTCTGCACATGCCCAGTTGGACCCTTGTTCAATCCAGATTCAGGCTGCAGTTTAATGACATTACAAGACTGATGCTCACTTAAAATTATTGTGGTTTTTTTTTGCATTTGACAGATGCAAGCCTGAATTCTAATGCTATCACCACATTATCCCTGTATGAAAGGCAAGAAGGTAAATAATCATGTCACTGGCCATCTCAAATATTAATTCTTGATGTTCATTTTAATGGTAGTTGTTAGTTTGTGCTCAGTATTTAAAGAAGATGTTTCTGTACAGTTCTGCTGAAATTGCCTGAACCGAAATAGAATCAACAGTGTGCTCGTATGCACTTCTGTCTTGCAGAATTTAGGTCATGCGTGGCAGTTGCACACTTCATTAAAATAAAGGGGAAAAAATGGACTAAAACCCACTGTCATCCCTCTTTTTCCGTCCTTCAGTAAAAGGAAAAAGCAAAACAAAACACAAATACCTTAAGCAGAGAACAGCAAATAACGGCTTATTTCAAGAGTTGTCCATTTTCTTTTTCAATAGCGTTTAGCAAGAGACAGGAGCAGATTCTTATTCACCTAACTCCTCCTGTACATTGCTCTCTGGAAAGGAGGATGAATTGCTGTATTCCCTGATGAAGGTCCATTACTGTGGTAAAGTGAAGTTTAATTGAACTGCTGTAGAGAATTAGGCACGTAGGGTGGAAAAACTGTTCTAGCAGACACCACAGTCTGAACACCACAGCGTTTAGGCCTTCCAGCCAAATGACCCCGTGCGAGCTATTAGCTTCATTACAGCTGGCGATAAAAATAGACAGTGGGAAGTGTTTCCCGAAACCCTCGTGAGAAGATTCTAACAGAAACTGCGTTCCCTTGGCTCTGCTCAGCTTTTCCTTCTCACATACCTTTCCATGAACTAGTGCTTGCAGTAGCTGACCTTAAATTAAGGGGGAAAAGGCCTTTCTTTACACAAACAGGAGACATGCCATGGGTCTGTGATCCGTGCCTCTGTATTAAAGGCACTTGCCTGTAGCGCTACATATTCCCTTTCCTCACAAATTCCCTTTCCTCATTTGAGCCACTTGAGGAAGGTAGTGCAAGCCACATATCACCAAGCCACTGAACACAAGCTACAGGAGAGACTTCTAAAACTCTTCAGGCTCTCAAACTGTGACTTGTGAGAAACAGTTATAAGCAGCCTGTAGTATTTTCCTTATTGCTAAGCATTGCTAAGCAGGAGATTGGATTCGAACTCAGTCACACTGTGGTTCTGTCATCATTCTCTTCCCCTTGCCTCCATGTGCGACATCACCCACCTAAGTATCAGGGCAATAATGGATGTGAGTTCGTGGTACAAAGTTCTGAAGACAGGGTTGCAAACTCCAAATCTGTCCCCGGGGACACTTGCAGCTGCTTTGGGTGCTGCAGTGAGCATGAAACACTCCACTCACTGAACACTAAGGCAGCACTTGAGCATGTTGGACATCTCGAGGAATAAGACCCTTTGGGAAGATAACACTGCATTTTACTACATTAAAGATGTATTCTACCTTCATAGAAAGCCACAGCATTAACATGGCAGAGGCCTTCAGTCTCTTCAGATAAAACTTGTTGAAGGAGTAGAGTAGGAATTGTTTTAATGGCTGAAATAAAGAGAAAGAGTGGGAGATCTCCTATTCATGTGAACTTTATATCCGTAGAGATTACATCGTACTATTATCAAGCTGATGATACATAGATTTCAAGACATCTTTGATGACAGGCATAAATATTAGATCAGAAATTTTCCTTCCTTAAGTACCTTGGTCCCCCCCACCACCTTTAAATGTGTTGTGAGTTGGCTGCATGTATTCTGAGCAGTGGCTTAATCTGTTTATACACAGCTTATGCATTAAGTTTTTGTTTTCTCTGGGTCACAGATTGCTTTTTTTTCCCCTTCTTATTTCCTCTCATCAGTATGAGAAGTCAGTGCGCTGAAACATTTTCATTTCCAGGTAGCCTGGAAACATTCACTTCTTTGGCATTTCTGGGAGATCCAATAACATGTTTGGCAGAATAAGCAAATCATGTGGCAAGTATAATCCTTTCCAAAGTAGATCACACATTATAGAAACTATTTGGCTTCTTCATTAGATTAGGCTTTGCTGTACATGCCTTTCCAGGCAGATAAATTTGATTAGTTTAGCAATTCCTGAGATGATATTATAAAAGAATATATAGTATAAAGGAAAAAAAAAAGTCTCCTCCAAAGAGAGGCAGCTGCTGCTCACAAGTGGGCTACTGATTTGGTGCCCCTCCTTGCCCCAGGGCCTATCTGTGTGAATGCTAAGCACTTGCAACTGCAAGTGAAGTAATTTCTCAAAATAAGACCCCAGGACTAAGGTTTGCCCATGGCAAGGAGTAACTTCCGAAGTTGTTATAAACATCTCTTTTGCTTAATCTTCATGGATTTACTCTATTTGACAGTGTCTACCTACACTGATATCATTTATCTCCTGAAGTAGTATAATTTTCCAAGAAAACTCTCAAAATTTCTAGAAATTTATAATAAGAGAGCCTTTTGTTTGGTCTTATAATGTCTACAAAAAATGAAAACTATGGGATATGGAGAGGACATCCTTCCCAGTTTTACAGCTGTAACTCGAAAGTTCACCTCTTCCTACAGATATTTAGCTTCTATTCCTAGCTTTTTATAAGCTACAGGAAATAGCACAAAAATCTGGAACTCTGGGATCCCTCCAGGAAGCTGAGAAAATCACCTAATAGGACAAAGGAAAAATAATCCATGGGTAAAACTGATGTTGAATTAATGTCCAGAGCAGCACAGGAGTTTTCAGCTATGAATGCAAGTGAACTGTTGCCTTTCCTGCTCTGGAAGCTGTGTGGGATTAGGTTTTAGCTCATCTCCAGAGGCACAGAGGACGCTGAAAGAACAAGTAATCTGCTTCCCAGATAAGCAACAAGTGGCTGTTGCAAAAGGGCCGGGAGAGTAACAAGATCAGGGTGATGGTCAGGCTAGACATGACTTTTCCCATGATCTTTTGTGGATAAGTCTTGGGCTCCCTTAAACTCTCCTCACCTCTGGCAAGGGCAAAGAGAGAGAAGTAGACTACTTGGTAGTAGCAAAGATGAGCAACTCTCTACTCTTCTTTAAGGGCAGATCCAGTTTGGTGATCTGAGTTACCACAAACCAGGAAAGCACAGAACACAAGTTGGATGTTTATGTGGTTTACTTATTATTTGATCTTTTCCATGCTATGATGGGAAAGGTGATAGTCATTCCCTTGTAAAGGATTTTGAGGACAATGCTAGCCTCAATTTAATTGTACTAATGGAAACTGAGACCATACTGTTAGAGGAATAACAAATTCCTTTTGCTTTATGAGACTGGCAGACATCTTCATTTCTTCAAAAGTCTCTGTTTCTAATTCCAGAAAAGGCTGCCCTTTAACAAAGAGTAGGGTTTGTTCTTGATTTTAAGAGGCCCTTCTCTTTATCCTCAGGAGCTGGCTAACATACTGCACTATCAAACCTGCATCCATAGAAGGCCATCATGCAGAGGGGTTGTTAGCCCCAGATATCTGGTTTGGTGTATCACTCATCAGAGGCTATAACACTGGAAACAGATCTCTCAAAAGTTTTCAGAGACCTACTATTGTACCAGTATATAGATACACAGGTGAAAACTGAAGATTCATTTTATACCAAAAAAACATTTTCCATGCTCTGTGTTCTTTTTGCCTCTTACCAGCTAGAATGTGTGAGGTGGGAATTCTTTCACATCCTAGATGTTTCCAGACAATGTACTCGAATTCCGCTGTCCCAAATAATAAAATTGGAAGAGACTTGTATAGCACATCTTTTGTACTGTATTAGTCATAGAGATAAAAATTAGTTGGTCATGCCTGGAGTAGCTTGACCAGGGACACAGAGGCAAGAATATCCTTTTAAAGACAATTGTTAAATTGTCTACAAAGTTCTCTACAGCCCTTTATGGGCACTTAATGGGAGTCTGCTCTTGAGACCGCCCAAAAACCCAGACAAAATACAGAACAGTAAATCAAATCAACAATTTCAACAAGATCTGTGATGAATGAGAAGAGCACAAAGCAGGGCACAGACAGCAAGTGCAAACTCTTCATTGCTGTTCAGGCCCACAGAAAGAGAAGAGTGGCAAGATTGAGACCCAGGGAGATACTTTACAAGTGCCAATCCAAAGACAAGGATTTCTAAGGTGCACCAAAAAAAAAAAAAAAGAAAGAAAAAACACATCTCTTTTCCTAAGAAACTGTCAGTTCTTCTCAGCAGTATGAATTTAACATTAGGGTGCCAGTACAGAAAGACTCAATCCAGTTAGCTACTCTGCCTTAGTTTCCCCAGGAAACTTAGTTTCCAGCTTATGCTAGTGGTTTACAGCTTTAGTGCCAGATAACTTGACAAGTTATCCCCACTTCAACCCATCTTGTTCTTCTTCAGAGTCTGAAGACTTTCAAGGTAGCCTCATACGGAACTCTCCAGTCCACCCAAGTTTCTTTTGCAGTGCCTCTAAAAGAGCTTGTTAACCTATGAGCTGGCCTATAAGATTCACTCATCTCATCCCATCTCCTCTTAGCTTCTGTGCAAAGCCTACCATTCCCCAAGGAACCCAGTTTACCAAACTCAAAAAAAAAAATTGAGCTGCCAAATACAAGTTCTCACCTT